AAATCAAAATCGTGATAAAATATTGGAAAAATGGTGATATTCTATTTTTGCCATATCGCCCAGCCCTAGTGTTCACTGCATCCACCTGAAGACTGCTGGAGTTAGACACCAGCGCCATGTGAAGATGTTTATTCCACTTGTCATTTGGTGAAAAAGTTTGCTCTTTCTCTCAGAACCTCGTCTTGTCCTGACTCCTTCAAGACCCAGTTCTGATCTCCTCAGTTCTCGCCCTCCTCAGTCCCAATCGGTCCCAATCCAGCCTCATAACTCCAATTCCAGCCTTCATCCCCCTCACTCCACCAGCCAGACTCCAGCTCCCACAATGCACATCACTGGACTTCCGATCCACATGACATTTCCCGGGCAAATTTCAGGAAGTGTAAATCACAATCAGGGCTCAGTCATCAGGAACCTTGTCCGGAGTAATCCGACCATTCAGTTTATGTTTTCTGACCAGACCAACGGATTCATTCAGCCTGTCGCCTTCCTGTAAATCTGTTCCTTTATTCTGGAACCGCAGCACGCTCTCGTCTCCTTTCTACCTGCACGCCGCGATTCCTTTATTAACTGTTCAAATCCAGTGCCAGTCACTCATCGCTTGGATCATAACACCACGCCACATCCAATCTCATGCTTCTGTCTGCTCAGTCCCAGCCAGATACTGACAGCAATAACATTTTAAGGTGGTATGACTGATTCCATTCCCTTCAATTCCATTTATTTGATCAAGCACATTTAAAAACAGCACGTGAGCTGACCAAAGTGCTGTACAGGGGTATAAACCTATAAGGTTAAACGGATAATATAAAAGAATAAAACAGCTAGAGCATAGCGCAAAGAACCGAACAAGAGAAGTCAATAAAATCAGTAAAAGAACTGTGTAAACAAACCTAGATAAAATAGCTAGGTAGTAAAAGCAAGGGAATAAAAGTAAGTCTTTAAGTGAGACTTAAAAAACCCCAGTGGAGGAGGAGAGTCTGATATTCAGCGGGAGATCATTCCAGAGTTTCGGAGCACGGACAGAAAAAGCTCGACAGAAAAAGCTCGTTCACCACGGGGTTTGCAGCGTGGACGGGGAATCTGTAGTAGGTGTAGGTCACCTGAACGGAGAGTCCTGCCCGGCACACAAGGAGTGAGTAACTCGGATATGTAAGGTGGTGCTATGCAATTCAGCGCCTTAAAAACAAACAATAAAATTTTAAACCGTAAACGGTAGTGCACAGGAAGCCAGTGAAGTCTTGCTAAAATTGGAGTGATGTGCTGCCGACGGCCAGTATTCGTCATAAATCTTGCTGTTGCATTCTAATGACCTTCTGACCCACAGTGATGCAGGGGACTGTTCTGGTCCTGCTGGACCTGACTGCAGCCTTTGACACTGTTGACCATCACCTGCTACTGGAGAGGCTGAGAGACTGGGTAGGCCTATCAGGATCTGCTCTGGAGGGGTTCTCCTCTTATCTCTCTGAGCGCTCCTTTTCTGTGGCCGTCTCCAAGTTTAGGTCCTCCACCACCTCTCTTACCCATGGTGTCCCACAAGGTTCTGTGCTGGGGCCTCTGCTCTTCCTCCTCTATCTGCTTCCCCTTCAGCACATCCTGAGCTCCTTCAAAGGAATCTCCTACCATCTTTATGCAGATGACATCCAACTGTACATCTCCTTTAAGCCCCATGAGATGTCTAAGCTGCAGCTGCTTAGACTCTATCAAAACCTGGATGGTGGGAGCTTTCTTCAGCTGAATGAAGATAAGACTGAGATCCTCATCTGTGCCCCAGACAAGCTGGTTCCCAAAGTCAGAGACTCTCTTGGTCAGCTTGCTTCTCACACCAAACCTTCTGTCAGGAATCTTGGTGTGACCTTTGACCCAGCTCTCACCCTGGACTCTCATGTCAGTTCTCTTGTTCGCTCTTCCTTCTTCCATCTCAGGAACGTTGCTAAGCTGAGTCCCATTCTGTCCCGCTCTGAACTTGAGACAGTTCTCCACACCTTCATCTCCTCACGCTTAGACTACTGTAACTCTCTTTTCACGTGTCTGAGCAGAACCTCCCTGAACCGTCTACAGGTGGTTCAGAACGCCTGTGCTCGGCTTCTGACCAAGTCCTCCAAACACACCTACATCACCCCGCTTCTCCTCCAGCTTCACTGGCTGCCAGTCAACTTCAGGGTTCATTTCAAGATCCTGGTTCTGGTCTATAGGGCCTTACATGGACAAGCACCATCTTACATTGGTGATCTTCTTAGTCCCTACACCCCCAGCAGGTCCCTGAGGTCCAGTGATCAAAGCCTACTGGTTGTGCAGCACCAGGCTAAAGGTCAAAGGTGACAGATCATCTGCTGCTGTGGTCCCCAGACTCTGGAACTCTCTCCCCCTGAGCCTGAGATCAGTGGACTCAGTGGTCTCCTTTAAAAAGCAGCTGAAGACTCACTTGTTCAAGCTGGCTTTTGTATGACCTTCTTCACCTCTCTCTCTTTATTCTGCTCTCCCCACCTATTCCACCTTCCTCAGGATCCACTGATTTCCCTCTTTCCTGTTCACTCTCTCTCTTTCTTAACATTTTTAATCACAATTGTCTCTTTTTGCTCATTTTAAATATATTTTTAAACATTTTCTAAATGTTTTTTTATATTTTTACATTTTTTGTTTTTGTGAAGCGCCTCATGATTTTTATCTTGAGAAGCGCTGGAAACTATATTTTCTTCTTCTTCTTCTTCCTCTTCTTCTTTGTATCAGCTGAAGGTGAGATAATGCGGCTTTTGAAATGTCAAACAGAATTGCATTGGAGTAATCCAACCTTGAGGTGATGATAGCGTGAATAGTTGTCTCGAGGTGGCACCGATTCAGAATGGGTTTTAGTTTGGAAATACTTCTCAGCTGATAAAAACATGATGTAACAACGTGATTAACGTGACGTCCATTTTTAGAGCCGCATCCATTTTAATTCCAAGATTAACAATTGTTTGACTAATTTTAAAAGGAAGAGCAGAAAACTCAGGAGCGGAGGAAGACGAGCCATTAGTAGTAAAAACAATAAACTCGGTCTTAAAATCATTCAGGAGCAGAACATTTGCTGACAGCCAGTCTTTAACCTCACTCAGGCAATCAAGGAGCAGCTGGATGGAGGTAAAAGTCTTCAATGGAACATAAATCTGGCAGTCGTCTGCATAAAGATGAAAGTTAATGTTGAACTTCCTAAAGATTAGCCCCAGTGAAAGAATATAAATGCTAGATAAAAGGGGGCCGAGGATAGAACCCTGTGGCACGCCCCAAGGAAGAGCAGCAGAGGGAGATGATCAGTCGTCCATTCTAACTGTAATAGACCTGTTGTCAAATATAGGAGCAGAACCAGTCAAGCGCAGATCCCTTAATGCCGACCAAATTCTCAAGGTGGGACAATAAAATGTCATGGTCAACCGTGTCAAATGCAGCTGAGAGGTCCAACATCACCAGGGCAACATGGGAACCGGAATCAGTGGCTAAAATAATATCATTAAAAACCCTGATGTGAGCGAGTTCTGTGCTGTGATATCGTCTAAAACCAGATTGAAACTTATCCAAGACCCCAAAATTGTTCAGATGGGGCATAATTTCATCATAAACAGCCTTTTCCAACACTTTTGACAAGAAGGGGCGCTTTGAAATGGGGCGACTGATAAACTATCTGTAATGAATGTTTGCATAATTTACTCAAGTGTTCACAAAGAAATGCTGGAATGTTTCTAAGAGTCCCAGCTTGGATGAGAGCAACAAATCATCAGCAGATTCTGCTTCTGAAACATCTGCTAACCTTTTCTTCAGCAGCTTCTAAACGCTTCTGAGGAGTCAGAGTTCACAGGTTTATTAAAACAAGTCAAAGCTAAAAGAGAAGCTTGACTCAGATTTTACATAAAAATCTGATTTATGGTGGTTTTAATGAACTCACAGAGGAAAGGAAACGAGGATCAAAAGTTTCTGCATCACAGAAGCTGGACGTTAGACTCGGATTACGTTGGAAGCAGGGGTGTGTCCAGGGAGTGGCCTGGGGTAGCACATGCCACCCTTGGAATCTGATTGGCCACCCCAGGTGCCAACACACTAATTTATCTTTAAATAGGCTTTTCATTGTCCACAAAAGGCTTGGGGGTAAAACTAAATTGCATAGCCATTGGTGCCACCCATGCACATTGTTGGGCCTCACCTGGGCCACCCCATTTTAAAAGATCTGGACACGCCACTGGTTGGAAGGAGCAAAAAAGTCCAACTTTCTCCGAGGGCAGAGGAAGTCTGGAATCTTATCTTCTCTGAAAACTGAACAGCAGCAAAGCTCAGAATGTATCCTTCACTCATCTGGGACTCAATCCCACCTGCAGATCCAACTAAAACACGCCTGGGCATCCGTTTGAGGGCGGCTGTCAAAACGGAGATGCGTGCTCATGAGCACAAAAGAAGAGACCAGGTTGCCAGTTGTTGATGGATCACAGTCAGAGGTGGGTGTGTGTTTCTCCCACCCGGATAAACTGTGACCCTTCTAGGAGTAGAGAGGCCGTGAAAGCAATCTACTTGTATAATTGCCTGTCAGAAGGGAGCCAGGTACTGCTGGGGCGAAACACAGCATATCATCCCCTAATCTACAAAGAACTGGTGCCAAGTGTGCACGTGTGCTCACGGGCATGTGCAACACAAAGGCAGGATGTGTGCTGAGGCATGTTTCGTACACAAGATCATTATTTTTCTTTTTACCAAGAAGTGGAGGGGGTTCAGACCTGAGAGTTTCTGTGGGTTAGAGTTGTCTGATTGTGTCGTAGTTGGATCCGTGCGCGTAGGTGCGCACGGAGGGGGTGGCTCGTGCGGCACTGGTGCACGTGCCGCAGTAATTGTTCTTTCCTCAAATAGCTGCTGTCATAGTTACTCCCTACCTGTGGGTAGGTTGTTGGAACACATTTTCACCTGAAACCTTTAAAAACTTTTAAAGCAACAGAAGTTTTCACCGAGCGGAGAGCATGTCCTGCTGCCCGCTCACGCCTCACCTGCTTCTCGTTCTCGTCCTCCAGCCTCAGACGCTCCTCGATGCAGTTGCGGGCCTGCAGGAAGACCTTCCTCTGGGTGCGTTCGGTGAGAATCCTCACAAACACGCCCGACAGGTTGACACTGGTGAAGAGCACCACGTTGGCCAGCAGCTGCACACAAAGAAGAGCATGTTTCAGCAGAAAGGCCATGCGGGTTCACGTGGAACCAGAACCATCCACGTGTGGTCTGACCCGAATGAAGGTGTCATGGTCTGAGGTGAGTGGTTCACTCATGACCTCTGAGTGCTTAATTGCAGGTGAGTGGCACTGAGGAGCGGGCAGCTGCAGCCAATCTGTCATCTACCAGTTGGCGTATAAAAGGAGCAAGGAGACGACATCACCTCGCCAGATGATTGATCACTTTGGTACAGTCCAACCTGAGATCACAAAGCCCACTCTCGAGTTTAGAAATCGTGCACTTGTCTTGAGCTTTAGCATATTTGTAATTCCTGTCCCCCGTCTTCAGGTATCCTCGCCATCACCACCTCGTCAGCCATACCCACGGATTATCTCACTGGACCACGTCTCCCCGCTCAACCTGACCGACCCGCTCTCACCCCGCACTCACCTTCGCTCATCTGGATTCTCCTCTCAAGCTCGACCCTCACCTCAGGCCTGACCACCCTCCTCATCTTCCACTAATTCCCTAACTCACCTCCACACTTCAACCTCACTCAAACCCTCGGCTCATGTTGACGGCGCTCCATCAGTTACCCTTTTCTAATAAATATTGTTTAGCCCTTTCATCCAGTCTCCGTGTATGATTCTGGATGTCCTGGGTTAGGAAACTAAACCAGAACATGACAGAAGGCTGTGCAGAGGACAAGCACGAGGACAAAGTGCATCATGCTGAGGTTCAGGGACACCATGTCCTAACCAGATCTCTGGTTCTGATCCGTTTGCGGGTTTCAGGGTAGAAACTTCTGGTGGGAATTTGGCCCTATGGCACCAGGAAGTCAACAGAACTCAAACAATCACTTTCTTTTGTTGATTTTTTTTAATAATCTTTGTCATTTTGGTTGAAAACAAACATGTTTACATGTTGAGAAGTCGGTTCATCCTTGGTTTGTTTCAAGATGGAGATTTTAAAATCAGGATTCACAGAAAATCCTGATGATAAAAAGCCTGTGTTTGATATAGCGCCTTCTAGAGTCCTGGAACCCCCCAAGGCGCTTTACAACACAATCAGTCATTCACCCATTCACACACACATTCACACACACATGGTGATGAGCTACGATGTAGCCACGGCTGCTCTGGGGCGCCCTGACAGAGGCGAGGCTGCCAAGCACTGGCGCCACCGGTCCCTCCGACCACCACCAGCAGGCAAGGTGGGTTAAGCGTCTTGCCCAAGGACACAACGACAGCGACAGACTGAGCGGGGCTCGAACCTGCAACCTTCCGATTACGGGGTGAGCATGATGTTTTCTGCTGCAGATTTAGAAGTTGGCGCCTTCTCTTCTGGTTTTCTAACAGGTAAAGATTTCAAACTGTATACCTTTGGTCTTCTGGTACAAAATGTACCAACTGAGAGCAATTGTTGGGACTAACCTCTGCAGCCCTGGATGTGTGCGTCAGATCAGAGCTGCAGACAGGAACGAATCAACCGTTACGGCAGGAATGCGCCCTTTGGCCTCAGGTAGGAGGAAAACCCCGAATCTGACGGATGGGGATGAAGAGGTAATCAGATGTTTATGAAGATTTGTTTTAATTACTGAGCGTCTCATACATTTTCATGCTTTATCAGACTAAAAGTCCAGTCTTCGCTCAGAGTTGTGAAGCAAACTGCCTCCAAGGGACAGTAAAACCGGGATCTAGACTAGGGTCCATTTGAAATGAGTCCTGTGTGTGTTTAAAACTGAATGTGGAGTAAACCGGCTCCAACAGGCCTGTGTGGAGACAGAAAAGCTGCTAGGATCCAACCCAGGACTGCTCTGGAACCAAAGGCTCTGGTGTTTCTCACAAGACAAAGGGAATAATGTGTAAATCTGTAAATTATCCTAACGTGCTTCTGTAACAGCTTCATTTACACGAATCTCCTCAGATCTGATAAGCTTTCTGCTTCCTGTGAGTCTGGTCCAGTTTCAGCACCGGGGGGCTGGACAGCTCCTCCAAACTGCTGCGTAAAATCCGTTTCCGCTGCTACAACTTCCCTATCCTGGGGCTAAAATCAATGCTGAACGTTTTGTTAACCTTTTCCTCTCCAGGGAAAACTCAGATGCGTAAAAAATGCAGTTTGTGAATCCTCCTGCGCACCTCAGAAGAACAACAAGAAGTTGAAGGTTTTTGGAGTGAAAGTTTGACTTCCTTCCCTGCACATGCATCGTGGTAAACGTGTTCACCAGACAGTGGATGGGTGCAGACGGGTTGCGGGTGCAGCACTCACCGGTCTCCAAAGCTTCTGTTTCCTCCCGCTGACTGACGTCGCTATGACAATGAAGTGAGATGCAGCCAGCAGGACCCCGAACAGCACGGCCAGCAGCGTCCGCACGGGCAGCAGGACGTAAGCCACGAGGGTGACCAGCATGAGCTGCCACACGCCCTGCTCCGGGGCAGCGGCGGTCACCGGCTCTGACGTGCCCAGCGCCAGCGGGAACGGGCAGCAGAGCAGCGCAAAGATGAAGCTGAACAGCAGCGCCAGCTTCGCTATCTGCTGCAGCTGCGTCACCTGCAGGTATTTGACGTTAGTGACGATGAAGAGCGACAGGAACACCACGCAGTGCACCGGGTAGGATCCCTTGGACAAGGTGAGCCGCGGGCTGGACAGCAGCTCCACCAGAGACAGCGACGACGCGGCCACGATCAGCACCGCCAGCGCCTTGAGGGTGGCGGTCTGCTCTAGCTTCAGGTTGTAGTTCTGGAACAGAGCCTCCAGTTCGTGGCTGTTGAATTCGTCCTCGCAGGCGATGGCCCCAAGCGGCGCCCCGGCCGGGCAGCGACCCTTCCGCCGCCGCGTCTTAACTCTGTCGGAAGGCATCTCCTGCATGGTCCGGCCATTCATGAAGCGGGGATGGCGCACGACGCCTCAACTTTCCCGCGGCTCCCTCCTCCTGCCGGGAATGGAGCTGGCACCCCCTCCCGGTTCATGGGTGATGTCCAAGGTTCGGGCTCGGTGTCAGAGGGGAGAGGGTGGCACGGCAGCAGAGCACCGCGCGCGCGCTCTATCCACAGTTTGTGATGAATGTTGGTGTCGTCAGGAAAGTACCCCGACCACTGCGTCTCTCTCTCTCTCTCTCTCTCTCTCTCTCTCTCTCTCTCTCTCTCTCTCTCTCTCTCAGCGCGCGCGGACCACCTGTCTTGCCTGAGAAAAGGTTACCTGTGATCCTCCAACAGGACTGAGTGATCAAACATGAATCTCAGCCTAAACACTTTCATTTATTTTATTAATTATAAATCCTCACTTTGTTCGTATCCCTCCATCGTTGGGAGAGGGAAATGCATCCCATAACCATCGCCCCCACCCCCCGGTCAGGCAGCGTTAATGATGGGTCAGTGGTTGGGGTCCGGGTGTCTGCAGTCAGAGCGGATGTAGTTCCCGGCTAAAAATAGACGCGCTGCGCCGGTGGATGGTCCAATATAGCAACAACTGGGTCTTTAGGTTATCCAGAGTTATCTCTGTAGTTATGCTGCTATAGGCTTAGTCTGCTCTTTAACTGTATTATTTCCTGCTATTTCAACTGTTAACTTTATTTTCTCTCTAAGTGTTTTTCTCCCCAGAAGAAGCTACAACGATGTTCTGCTGAGCTGTGGGGGCCTCATGGAGGGGGCCATCGTCTAACACACTGCTGCTAACCACTTAAACATTCTCCCTCTCCTGATAATAACTAGTGTGTGTGTGTGTGTGTGTGTGTGTGTGTGTGTGTGTGTGTGTGTGTGTGTGTGTGTGTGTGTGTGTGTGTGTGTGTGTGTGTGTGTGTGTGTGTGTGTGTGTGTGTGTGTGTGTGTGTGTGTGTGTGTGTGTGTGTGTGTGTGTGTGTGTGTGTGTGTGTGCTCTGTCTTCTCGATCCCCAGTGAGTCATGAAGGATGGCTGCTTATACTGAGCCAGGATTCTCTGGAGGTTTCTTCCTGTTAAAAGGGAGTTTTCCTCTCCACTGTCGCCATATGCTTGCTTAGTATGAGGATTGCTGTATAGTCAGTGACACTAGTCAGTGACTTGATGCAATTTGCTGGGTTCCTTATCTAGGAAACTTTTTTTCTGATTGGCTTAATGAACTGACCTGGATTGGAATGTTTCTTATGTGAAGTGTCTTGAGACGACTCTTGTCGTGATTTGGCGCTTTATAAATAAACTGAATTGAATTTAGATTTTGCACACATGAAGCTGTAAATTCTGGTGAAAATAATCCTGTCATGAAGTTGATCAGAGCGTTTAACTTTCTTGAAGTTCTCTCTTCGGTGCATGCGTGGATCTTTAGAAGGCAAACTGAGCTTTGACACTCACACTAATGACCTTATTTTTATCCTGCTTCAGGACTCAATGAGGAGGCTCACCGCTGTGGCGAGTCGGTCAGTGTGATGCATCGTTTGGTCCATTTCCAGCTCATCTTTAATCAGAGTTCAAATCAAAGATAATCAAACCAAGTCCAAGTGAAGATGATTCTGAACCTTCTCACAGATGAATTACCCTTAAATGCTGCTGATGTTCTGCTAAACAGGTTCTCACTACAATACGATGTTCCTTTTCAGCTCAAAGTGTTGTACTAAATGCTTTCGGTGTTCTTGAACCACTCCCTCTGCAGTCTGGAATATCTTCTCGCAGCCTTGTTTCTGTGAAACGTAAAATGCTGCAATCCTCACATTCCCACATTATTTTCCCTCCAACTCCAGGAATTTCATTTTCTCCTCATCCACTGCCAGAGGAAAATGTTTAAACTTCCTCCTCCTTGCTTCTCCCTCTGCTGCTGGCCAGCATGCAGAGACCTGGAGTGTTTTATTGAGTATTATGTTGGCTTTAGAGAGTTCAGGCCGCTGCCCCTGCATGCTAACTCTGGCAAGGTTCCACTTTATAAATATGCACGAGTGCCAGAACCACCAGCAGAAATAAATTCATCAGCATCCAGAAGGGAAAAGTATTCAGGTAACTATTTTAACTGCATGGTGGAGCAGTGGGCAGCACGGTGGCCATGGTAGCAAGAAGGTTGCAGGTTTGAATCCCGGCTCAGGGCTTTCTGTGTGCAGTTAACATGTTCTACTCATGCATGAGTGGGTTTCCTCCCACTGTGGATGTAGTATTTTTTTAGGGGGGGTTATGATCACCAGTTTCTACATGCTCCTGTTCCACTGCCCTGCAGAGAGGAGCAGCCCCTCCTCCGCTCCTCCTCCTCCCTCCCGCCTTCCAGCTGCGCTCAATCCCTAATCAGCTTCTGAGCTTTTAAAAGGGCGTGGCCAGAAGAACCAGGAAGCAGAAGGAGTGGGGAAGATCTTGAGAGTGAATGAAATCCAGACACACCTAGTTGTGAACCTAGTGCAGTTTCATTCTCTGAGTTCTGTGGAACGTTTGGAGATTGTGCTCAATAGAAGATTGGTTAGTTTGAACCTACTTCCTGTGCTTGCTCAGTGGAGCCTTTGTAGAGGTTAAGTTAACCTGTCGGCTGTGTGTGCTCAGTGGAGCATAAGTATTGCTTTTGGTGTGTTTGCTCAAAAGCGCTTTGATTTAGTAATTATTACTGTTTTGTGTCCATTACCTTAACAGCCCTCAGTCTGTTTGGACTTTACTTTATTGGACATTACTTTCTATTTTTGCCCAAAAAAGGGGGAATAGCTGAATTTGTGAGTCGACTCTGACTTATTGGCATATTATTTTCGTGGAGCTGAGCCCCAGCTTGCGTGTTCCCTCAAGTCCTTGTTTTTTCCCTCTTTAGAACCTTCAGTTCTTGTGTTTAATGGACCTAGTAACCTTACATGAGCTTCGTCATTTATTTGTTATAAAATCGTTCGCTTTTAAAATCCTGACCCCGTGCCTTTTATGTCAGGACGTCCTTCACCAATACCAACACCAGTCGTAACGGGGGGGGGGGGGGGGGGGACATGACTCCCCACCCCCACCCCCCCACCCACCCACACACACACACACACCTTTTCCAAAGTACATTTTTGTCCCCTGCACTTTTCACCGTCCAAAACCATTACACCAAATCACACACACACACCGGTTGAGCACTAGGACCAAGCGAAAAATGACCGCTTGTGTTGAAGCCTGATCCCAGTACATATTATTTTTGTACATTTACTATAAAGATGACCCCCCACCTCACCCCACCCCACGCCGCCACTTCTAAAGTCAAAACTACATCCATGCCTCCCACGGACCAGAAACACGCTTTCCATGTTACCTGGAGAGTGAGGTTACAGGTTGCATTTATTTATTTTTGAATGACATACGAACTTTTGTGATAAAAGATTTCAGAAACTCGCATTGAGCAACAAATCTGAAACTACAGAACACCTGTTGTGGCTTTTAGGGCCTGAAATGTTAAAAGCTTTTATTGTTGTCCTCGCTGCTCAGAGCGTTGGCCCTTATTCGTGGTGCATCGTTTCCAGCTGTGAGCTGCTTCGGCCGTTTGGATCACCTCCTCATCCTCGCTGCCTTCACTCAACGCATCTTCTCACCTGCAGAGGGAAGTGAAACATCAGTCTGACACTCAAACGCCGCTTTCATTTCTGTCTCTCCCAAAGTAAGCGACAGATTCTTTTTTTTTTTTTTTTTGGACCATCCTTCCCTTCAGGATGCCTGACAGTCCCCGCCGTTGCTATGGCAACAGAGGCAGTAAGGCTCACAGTTGTGACTGATACGCTGCTGAGGTGTTTCCCGATCTGACACCCCGGCTCCCTCTCCGTCTTTGTCTCCTGTTGTGCCGCTGCCTCTTCTCCCTCACATCTCCCCGACTTTCCTTTCAGGTGGTTTGAGATGATGATGCGTGTTTGTATCCGTCTGCGGTGCCGCGGTGACACGGCGCCCTGCCCTGCTGCCTCACTCTGCTCACTGACATTTCTCCAAATTGAGGCTCTGACATGAAGGACAGGTGGAGATGAAGCTTTAGAGAGGTGACCAAACCACTCAAACCTTCACTGCAGAAGATCAGACACCAGAATCTTAGGGAGCTGCAAGGAAACATGAATCCAATCCAAAAGGTTTAATTCAAGCTGACAGGATGCATGTCGCCTGCTGGCTTTCACTCCAGAGTTTCGACTAAGATCACGTTGAGCTGAAAACGGGTGGAGTTGTAGTTGTTTTGGTCAAACCCTGAACATGTGGCTGAGAAGAGGAATAGAGACAAGAGGACCTCAGGGCCGCAGAGAACGTTCATATTTTTAAGTCCAGGCTCAAGACCCATCTATTTAGGTTAGCTTTTATTTAATTATTTACTGCGGTTTTATTTCTCGTTTTACATGATTATATTTTATTACTTGCTTTGCATGTTTTATATGATTATACTTTAGCATTGTTTACATTATTTAATATTATTATTTTACTGTCCATATGATTTTGTTCATTACTTATTTTCTTGGGTTTGTCGATTATATTAGCTCTTTTATTTTCATTCAGTGTTTTCTCTGTGGGGGCCCTCTGCCCCGGGGGCGTTGGTCAACTGTTGCTTCCTGGGCGCTCTACAGGTAGTGTTTAAGTGGAGGTAGGGGTCAATGCTCCCCCTCCTCTGAGCGGCCTGACTTAGTGTGGAAGACCTGATGCTGCCGGGGCAGACGGCTCCTCTGATGACGTTTCCTTGCCTTACCTTACTTGGCTCATCTGGACTCAGCCGAATATAATTTTTTACTGTATGTGTGTGTGTGTGTGTGTGTGTGTGTGTGTGTGTGTGTGTCTGTCTGTTAATGTTTTTAAACTGTTATGGGAATTTGGGGTCATTTTGTAAAGCACTTCGTTTGAAAATCGCTTTATAAATAAAATCTGATTGATTGATTGACAAACTAAAGCCGATGAATGAACAGGATCAGACATTAAAACTGCAATAAGACTACGACAGACTGAGATGGCTTTTTATTGGTGCCACTACAAAGTACTAAAAAAAATCCATCACTGATCTTTAGATCAGAGAAGGTCGAAGGAAACCCCTAAAAACAGGTAAGGACATAGGAGTTAACAACTTATCCAGCAGAGGATTAAGAGATGTTTTGTGTTGCCGACAGGGGCGGATTTAGGACTGAAGAAGATCCGGGGCTTAACACACACACG